GAAGCAATTCCAATAAAATGCAACAAAATAACTTTGTGGTTAAAGGCGTTTCAATTTTTTCATTGCAAAAAATGTTGCAATAACACATTGCTTTCTCGTTTTACGAGTATTGTGTTACCAAAAGTACAATATGAAAAGGAAGTGTAATAGTAGGAGAATGTGCGGCAAATATACTGAAAAAAAATCTTCTTTGAGGAGGCATTTAGGAGTTGGGGTAATAATTAAGATAAGATTTATGGATGAGCAACTTTATTACAATTAGGAGCGACGTTTTGGTGTAGGTCCTAACCTACACCGAAACGTCGCTCCTACTTGTAATAAAGAAGTTGTTCAACCATAAATCTTATCCTTACTTACTGAAAGTAAATCATTAAAGATATGTGATTCAACCTCCATTGGAAATTTATTGCTCTTTATATCCCCAAATATTTTCATAATCCCTAACTTTTTCGTTCAGTATGTTTAATCTGCACAATTCAGAATTGTTTCCGGAGATAGATTTTGTTCACGGGCACAATGTAGGATTTGTATTTCCAACTTCACGGATTATCCAAGCAACAGAACATTCCCTCCCTGCATGTATATAGGCAGGGCATCATCTGAGAGGCAACAGAAAGTATATCGAGTTTGTTTGTAATGTAATTAAAAATTGAAAAAAAAACTGTTGAAAAACTGAATTTGATAATGTCTATTCATCCATCACTCTTCCTGCAACAGTTTGTAAAACGTAATCTGTGGCTGTAAAACTAAATCTTCGGCTGGGGTATTTTGTTTTAAAATACATTGATTCAATGAATGAATTTGCAGCCACATATGCCTACCATGTTTAAAATGTACATTTGTGAACAAAAAAGCAAAAGTATTCAGTTTCAAAGATAAGATAGCTAAGATACCCATCCGCAGTTGTGTATTATGCGAAAATATTTATTTTTAATCAGATTATATTTTTTTTAAATACCATCATGTTGAAGTATTCTTTGAGTGCTGACTGAGCGCCAGTACACTTCATTTTTTATATATATATTTTATTTATTTTTTATTTATTTAAAATCAAACATGATAGAAAATCAACTGAGAGGTATAGTTTCCTTTGCTTCTCGGTTAACACAAGGCGGTGGACACGAGGTAACATGTCAAACATCTTATGTTGGTTCACGATTCAGGCGATTCAGTGAAATGCGAGTATGTTATATTCACTTGGAGTTTTTTTCAACTTCCAAGGATTTGTTAGAATATTAAAAACATATTTACTCTACAAAATTTCCCATCGCAGGTATCATGGATGTTTGGGTACAGAGGTGATAATAAAACCTTTGAAGACTTTCGTTCTCTTTTAATCCTTGGTTAAATACGCATCACGTGTAATTCTACAGAACATCTAAGTTAATCAGTACATTGTTCCATTTAAACTATACTGATACAAATAAATAAAAGGAAAAAAAAAGATCCATTAACATAAGAAGTGTCTACTAAAATGAGAGTCCATTGTAAGATTCCGACTTCATCATACGCATGTGTTCCTTCATCACTATCAAATAATGATGATACATGTACCAGGTGTTCTCAGGAAGGGGGCGTGTCCTGCCATCAAACCATATACCTCATAATTACATAACCGTAATGTTAAAATGATATCACATACAAGATTATATCTCAGGAAGCAGTGCAGAATTTCTGCAGCATCAAACCACTATATTGTTGGGCTATTCTTTCAGAGGATCCACAAAGACACGCAAACAGTACCAAGCCAACAGGGCGCTGTTCCAGGTTATCAAGTTATTTCAAAGCAACTCAGGGACATGCACCATTTATTCTACAAAACGACCATAGTTGGCCATATCTGACAACCGCTATTACCTAAATGCTTTTCAGTATAGGGGCCCAAGTTGTACCTGATTATAAAGGACCGTATTCTGTACGCCTGTTGATCAATGCGCTAACAAAAGTTGTCGGGATTGTGACAACACCAACCCCCCTCTACACAACATATTGCCCCCAACAACGCCTTCATATGTTGGCTGCTTAATCCTCCTACCGTAAACATCAAGTCGGGGGCGTGGTGTTATTCAAAACTGGGGAAGATTTTTTTTTTAATTTTTAAAATGTCAACAATGAGTATTCAATTGACAGTCATATGAGACACTTAATTACAAGTGAACTCTGTTGGATTATTTGGACTGAATAAAAGTCACCGAAATTTACATTTGCAGAGTGGTAGGGGGACATTTACCGTGATTATATTGAAATGTGAAATTACTTTAGCTATGATGTCTAATGGGTCACAATACCCCCACATTCTACAGTCTAAACATGGGTGCATTTTTTACTGGACAAAGTTCCATGTACTACTTAACGTTATTTAGTTATTATTTCATAAATCTTTGAAGTGTTTATTTCTTTGAAAGTTTGTCAATTTGGTCACATAGATACTGACTGCGAATAGCATTTTATTGCTATTCAGAAAAAAAGTAATTTAAGGTTGGCTTTCAATTCTACCATCTTTAAAAATATATTATTTTATAAATTCTTTCCCCTATAGTTGAACGACCTGGTCTTGACAAAATAGCCATTTTTTTAATACTTTTAATACGGTATTCAAGTTCAAGATGTTTTGGAATAATAAACATTGCAGATTTGCTTAACTCTTACAAAAGAAGTAAAAGCACTAAAAAGGTTGACCCGAATACCTCAGAACAAACTCTTCATGCGTGCCCCTAAATGGTCCGTTCTCTTCAGCACGTGTCCCCATTATATTGCGAAGGCCATACAACCATCCAATTGACGATCACAAAAATAATTCTTCAAATGGTATAATGTTCACTAGAAAACACAAAGTTGTTAAAACATTTAACTAATCATTCCTTTACAAACTTTAATTGTATAATGAACAATCGTTTACAACATACCTGACCCGTGAAGATTCGGGTATAGAACTGGGTGCCGTTGTACAAAACAACCTTAGCGCTACGACTGTCGTAACGGGGTGGTCGGGTAGCCTACTGGTTAAAGCGTTCGCTCGTCACGCTGAACACCCGGGTTCGATTCCCCACATGGGTACAATGTGTGAAGCCCATTTCTGGTGTCCTCAGCCGTGATATTGCTGGAATATTGCTAAAAGCGGCGTAAAACCATACTCACGCACGCACATGCACTGTCGTAAGTCTATGTTAGGTATGGGAGTTACGATCACCTTAGCGCTAAGATCGCTTTGTACAACGGCACCCAGGTCTTCAGCAACCTATGCTTGCCGTAAAAGGCGACTGTGCTAGTCGACTAACGGAATCGGGAAACGTAGATGCATGTCATCGCATCCCAATTGTGTGGATCGATGCTCATGATGCCAATCACTGGATTGTCTGGTCCAGACTCGATTATATACAGACCGCCGGCATATAGCTGGAATAGTGCTGAGTGCGGCGTTAAACAACAAACAAACATACAACATACCTGGTTATGAGACTCTCGGGCGTAGATATACAAAAGATACTCCCGGCAAAAGAATATTTTGAAATTGGCTTTGACGCAACATTACAAACGTTAACAAAACGTTACTATGCAAACAACAGACGCCGAAACACTGCCAACTAAAGGTCCAAAACACAACTAGGATACCCGTATCAAATACATCACCATCGAATAACCACTTCTTGTTTGTTTCATATATAGTCACCATCAAACATGGGTGTATCTTTTGTTTTGCCGGGTGGTTCAGCTTGACCTCAAACACATGATAAGTACTTATATAGAACGAATTACATGCAGACAGAAGTGGAGCTATACCCCTTAGAAACATATTCATGATTGTGGTATTATTCCGCGTACTGTTAGCGTTGAGTGTCGTATTTTAGCTGCTGTCGTTTGCCATGTGTCTTTTGGAGCAGATATTGGACACCTCTCGTCTGTGGTGGTTATTGGAAAGTGCATTTAAACCTGTATCCAAACTTTGATACACTAAACCTAATATTTCTGTTTTCATGTATAATATCGGTGTACAAATTTGGTACCACAAAAAACACATCATTTATTGCCTACACCTTTCCTCAAGGGTTATTTGGTCATAAATGAAACAAAGTTGTTATTTCAGCGTTCCTGGCGATAGACTTCGCGAATGTCGTTTCCTTCTAAATCATTATTCAAGTATTCCATCAGTCAGCCTACATAATTATATTTTGTAATATTCAGTAGTCTCAGAATGTCCCAGTATACATGATTATTCAAATGAAGCCATGTAAGAGTTTAACAAAATTAAAAACGTCAACGCCAGAGAGTAACCAGTCTCGATTATCTGCCGAAAAGTAGTGACGAAAATTATGTGAATGGGTCACTTAAAATCAATTATGACACCAGGTGCTTGCGAAAAGGATTAAGAAATATACCCCTTATGTAAATTATTAATTTCCAAAATGAATATAATATGTCAATATAACCCGTGTAAATCCGATTGTGTTAAAACTGTGATTCGAACTATAAAGCAGAATAAAACGAAACGGGAGAGAAAATCAGATATGTTCACAGCATAAAGCAAATTACTTTACCATATTTGCTGTGACGGCTTTCCTAATAGGGGACTATTTTCGTGTGGGACAATGCTGCAGATGACGACAGAGATGTTTCCCCATGAGGGGGGTGCTGGCAGGTTGGGGGTACAGAGAGCCGCCTCCCTGTGACGGGGCTCGCCTGTCAACATGTTTATATTTAGCCTGACGCCAGGGCTACGTCTCATAGTAATGAAACACGTGTTGTTCTGCATTATAATAACCTGCCTAAATTTCATATTGTTTGCTTTAAAATATATTGGATAGACTTAATTCGTCGTGAATTGTTCGTGGGTCGGGCACCGCAATATGCCCAGATTGCTTGTGACTGTTGGACACTAATGAATATGTCGACGTGTCAGTCCCAACATAAAACATGCGCTCAGTCCATGGAGTTTCGCTCTGGGGACAAGAAGAGTTGATAGGAAAACCAACAGAGACATGGGAAATAAATGTCAAGATTTATTGTAAAACTAAAATCTATATACAGATGGTTTATAACCATTTATTCAACATGTACAAATAGCAGGTCCCCTTGCTTAGCGGGCGACTCGATAACGGACAGGCACTTGGTGATGCATATCGCGGGCGATCAGGTTGCAGTCATAAACACAACAATGCAGAACTGTGTAGGCAATTTGTCATACATGCATAGGTTTCAAATTCATGTCAAAAATAAACCCTGTCGATTCATTAAAGACGATTCTATATTTCCTCGCCAGGTGGCGGTATATCATGGCAACCTGACACCATAGCATGTGGCACTTCAATATTTTGTAAATTGTAAAAAGATATTAACCATTGTTTCACAAAATATCCCTTTATGAATTAATAGCATATGCCTTTCAATGTACACAGATAGCGACTTCGACAGCCGAATTTCAACTCTGACGCCCTGAGAATGTATTGCACTTATTATTAAATACATATGTAAACAGTAAATGGTAAATAAAATATATGTTAAACATACTAATATTGCACATCCCCGATCCTCAGCTTTGTATTGTTCAACAGTGCTCAGATCGCAACGTCATCTTTATGGATTTTCGCCACCCCCGTGTCAATTTGCCGCTCCCTCTCCTCCCCTTGAGGTAAAAGTGAGTCAGTTTCACAGTCGGTCTCTGTCAAAGACGCAGGCAAATCCGATTCAGACATGCAAATTTCCTCGTCCTCCTCTTCACTGCTTGTCTCATCGCGCCCACAAGACACGCCCCTTTCACCTTTCCCTTCACACGAGCTGTCAATCTTCCGTTTATCGTGTCGCGAGGAGCACGTGCGCAGACAGCGACATTGGTCACGTGAGTCAGACCCGCCTTCTTTCTTGTATTTGACACGCCTATTCTGGAACCAGATCTTCACTTGTTTCTCTGATAGGTTGAGGTACGTTGCGATCTCGATACGACGAAGGCGGGAGAGATACATGTTCGATGCAAATTCTCTCTCAAGATCCAGGAGCTGTGTGCTTGTGAAGGCTGTACGAATCCTTTTGCTGCTTGGGAGATCGTCTGACGGTCCGTTCACATCTGAAATTCAACATTGAGAACATGAGAACACAATAAATTAAACTGCGGTTTTTAATTCAGACATTTACATTATTGAATACTCTTGGAACAGGCATAAATAGTACCACAATATGCAAAGTGAGAATAAGAATGTAACTGTGTGTTCATTCACCTGCAGTGCTTTAAAATAATCACGAATACAAAGATATCATAAAACGTTTTTAACATATAAAAATCATGTCGTTCCAGATGTATTTACGGGAAATATAAATCCTCGCGCAAAATAGATACAGAGCATCATAAGTTGTGTATTAATTACAAGAAAATATTAATAAAACAAGTTTTGTAAACAAACACAAAAAAAACAATGTTGTTATTGTGTTATTTTCATGTTTTAAAACTTCCTTGGATGGATGTACATTGTATTGTCTAAAATAAGAAATTTCAGTTAAACGATAAAAAGAGAAACTTTAAAAACGCATTCCACGTCCAACAATGCCTGAATATACGCATACGATTCAATATAGTTTAAAATAAAATTTAATTAAACCTTTTTGAACACTTATTGTTTAACCTTACCTGAGTCTGTGCCGGTATCTTGTTTGATCGGTTCATGGCAAAACAACTACTGTAAGTTATGAAATATTTTCTGGTACTCGAATTAATTCTAACCCCGGTAGACAAATGATTTGTTCTCTTTATTGTTTCAATTGTAAATCTAAATTGTAATTATGTGTGCATATTCAAAACTATAATGTTCTGAGACGGGGCAGATTTTTGTTAATAACATGCTCTCGCACATACCAACTTATTATTGTCATCGTACAATAGGATTTCGAAATAAGTAAAAGATAAAAATAATTATTTGTTTAACGCAGTAATGTCGAGTTCTCGATGCTGTGTAACATATTTCATTGCGACAAAATCCTAACATTTATAATTACTTTAATTCTGGAAGTATTTCTGAATACGCATAGTTCTGAACCTCGATTGTCCTGAAATTAATTCAAGTCGATCTCAAATTTTCTTTAATTTGAAGTCAAATGGTCAATGTATTTTATTTCAATCATGAAACTACAATAAAACGAATTTGATAGTGATGTGACCTCTCAACTTTGGCGATAAACACAAGTCTATTACTTTCACAAAGGTTTGGAAGAGAATGGGCGTGGCTATGGGCGTGGCTGAGTGTAGGACATCAGGGACGTCGGAGGCACAATATGTTTGCCGGGTCATTATAAAAATTTTATGTGATTTATTTTTTAAATTCAGTTTCATACTTGCAATATGGTGGCAATTTATATTATGTAAATTTTAAAATTATATTATTTCCAAATCATTTTTAAAAGGAAAACTTAGAAAAGTGATTTCCTAATAGTGTAGTCCATGTACTATTGATTGCATCGCTTTACTTCAAGGATAGTCTTTTGTTGTAAATAATCTCAACTGCGTTGGCTTAGAACACAGTATGGATCAGCTTCATCAAAAACAAAGTTCCACTTCTAAAAATTGTGTTTTTAAAGATGGGTATTTGTTTTGCCGAAGGGAGAAATCATTTGTAAAATTTGGAAAACATTAAATTGGATGTTAGCAAAACACTTTATACAGAAAACGAATTTGAATGTAGTTTATTTCAAGTAAAAGACTATTTGTCTCTGCGTAACATATTGCAAGCCTCCTGAAGTTAACACAAAATATTGTCATTATTCTCCAAAAGCGATTAACGATGTTACTGTTTTGAATAGTTCTTTACTTGTAAAGAACGTTTTCCCACATGTACGGCAAGGCAGTGATTGGCTCGCCACAATGAATCTTGCGCCCAGCTTAGAACTTACATGCATATTGGTTAGAAGAAAGAATCAACAACAAGTATAAGTAATATCGTGACTTACCGCTGTTGGTACATCGTTGACGCTTCTGGGAGACAGGTTCGTACTGGGTGGTAACTGCAGAGTGCGGCTGATGCTGGGAGTATGACGTCACCAAGTCCAGGTGGGGGTACTGATGATTGAACCCTGGGGTCAGGTGTCCCCCGATCATAGTTTTAGGCATAGGCACTAGGGTAGAAGCAGGCTTGAGGGGGGTAGCCGCGGACACAGTTGTGGGTACGGCGGCTGACGGGGATGGATGTATACATAGTGGACAACAGAATCCCAGCATTTCCCCTGGGTGCCGGACGTAGCTTGGGAGGGGTGCGGCCGAGTGGAGGAGGTGACGGGACAGTAAGGCCTCACTGACCGGGATGGAAGGATTGACCCCACGAGATGACTCGGACGAGGAGTGTCCGGGCTTCACCATCAGAGAATCCACAAAGAAGGAACGAGACATCACTGAAACTGATTTTAAAGCAAATAAACAAACAATTTGCGTGTAATCGCCTCATGAAAACCCGCTTTCCCTCGATTAACGATTTGTAGTGACTGTGTGATGTGGGCAAGTGTCCCCCGGATATTTATACGCCCCGTGCTCTTTTGTCCCCTTACACACGTGGCCTCACTCGGCAATTAGCCTCCTATAATTGATCTTTCTCCATTCATAGCTCGGCGATTTGATTCGCGAATATATGCATGGCGGTTTTAATGGTCATTTTCCCCGGCCTATCGCTCCCGTATATGGCACTGATCACATCCCGACTTCCAACGAATCAAGTGTGTATGTTCATTACTCCGCCTGACTCGGCAAGACTCGGCAAGACTCGGCTCCCCACCCCCAGACCGACTCGTCAGCCTCTGCAGCCCCTTCCGACTGATGGAGTCCCGCAGACGTCGCGCGTGACGCACGTGCAAGACATAAGCCATACTAACCGAAAATCTGTAGTAAACTAAACCAAGAACAATGGATTTCTATCGAAATCCATTTCTATACAAGATTGACGATCTTTTATTGTGTTTTTGTGATCATTACGGAACATTCGCTGCGCCATTAGAGGCACGAGAAACACGCCAGGTCTTGTTACTCGATAGCAGTGTGTAACATGAACGATTTTGACTACATATGTTAGCGTTCAACTGTATCCTTGGTTCCAATAACGGCCTCCCCTACCCACCAAACCCCCACCCACTATTCCCAAACCCACCTACCCAAAATCACTGAATAGACCCGTGATATATATTAGATAGTTCGGCGAATTTTAAAATACCAACAAGAAATTCTCTATACACCAACCCAACACATTTTACTACTGCGACTAATATTTATTTATAATATTTTAAATCCGTGTTTTAAAGATTTATGTTTTTAAAGCAAATACCCGTATTTGGACAGAAGAAAATCAAAGTTATTAAATATCATTTTTACTCTTATTTCATATTTATACGTTTTCACCCGCGTCTCATAATTATGAAGACAATGTGCAAGATAAAATATTAATTTGTTTCATTAATCAATGCCAGTCAAAGCCTGTTTGCATTAAAACAGGGGTTATATGGGCAAGTAGCCGTATGTATTGTGTTGTGTCAAACACACCGAAAATGCGACAAGAATCTCACCATTTGACTACTTTGATCGGCCATCTAGATGTAATAAAACTCCAATGACAATATCAGGGCTTTCCGTTTCAACACCAGAAACGTCACAGAGAGCCTGAAGTAAATTAGTGTCGTTGCTTCGGTCTCAATACGTTTGTCATAGTACGTTAGTCACAATATTGTCGTCACCATCCTTTCACACTGGTTAGTGACGAGACATTAGGCGTGGCTTCACATTACTAGTTTGGACTATGCATATATGGATTATTAATAAGTGAACACATCCTTCAGTAATCACTTTATGGGGCTAATATTTTTTACGGCCCTTACGAGGAGCCAGAGTACGGTTCATTAATTTCCTTTTAGTGCTGCGTTAGTTTAATTTCAAATTCAGCTGCCTTATTTTGAAATTTTATGGTTTTATAATTCAAATGTTGAAGTTTGCTCAGCACAAAGGCGTTGTGTAAAAACAAGACTAATCTTATATATGGTAATGATATAGCAAAGGATTTTTTCATGTGAGTTTTATTCACTTTAAAAGGACTTAAAACATCAGGGCATTGCCGTTATTGTGGTCAGCTACAGCGCCTTTGTGCTCAACAGACATACGAGGATGTAATGCCATCAAATGTCAAATTTCAAAATGAACAACTTTGTTCATTTTTTTATTTTGTTCATTTTAAATATACTTCAAATAAATATTTGAAATATTTGTATTTTTTGACGCGATTGTGTATTATGTATAAACATGTTATTAACATCATTCAATAAATTATCTGCCTGAAAATGTTAGTTTTAGGACTATATTCATGCTCATAGTATCAGTCGATTATTTCGGCTTCTGTAATGATAATGTTTCTAGGTTTGTCAGCACCATACCCGTGCTCGTGGGTTTCACCAAAGTGGTAAATGTCTGAGACCTGCATCACTTTCGACTTTCCTCCCACATTAAGCTGACACGCCGTGATATAACTGGAATACTGTTAAAAGGGGCGTAGGAAGTTCACAAACTGCTTGTCACTGCACAGGCAAACATTAACAATGACTGAATGGTTTTTTTTCGCAATCATTCAGTCCAAGCTATATCACGGTGGTTGTAAATTAATTATCGAATCTGGCCTAAACACACCAGGGAGAAAGCATGAGCAACGATCCACAGTAGGAGTACGGTGACACACAGGTATTTGTCACCACCCCATTGTGACCGCCCGATCCTCACTTTACCCCCACAGCACACACTGGCGGTTGTGAATCAGTCTGTGCTAAAAAGTAATCGGGGCCTACACAGAGAGTTTAGGGATACTCGTTTTGTCTCGTCAATTCCAAGTCCTGTTAAATGTAGGATATGGTTTGTTTTCACAGAATTATACAGAATATTAATTATAAAACCTGCCGGGCAAAAGAAAGTATACGCTTGACAATTGGATTTGACCAAAAACAATGCAAAGTTAAGCCCAATACAAAACTATGAGACCCGTATCAAATACATCCCCATCGATTCACCATTTCTTGTTTGTTTCATTTGTATCTACCATTCAACATTGGCGTATACGTTCTTTTCCCAGACAGTTCATGTTTAAATGAACATCGACACTAAGATGATTTTCGTTATCTTTAATTTGAAATTGTTAAAGTAATTGTGTGGTTTTGATTTCTCTACGTTAGTTTACGTTTAGGTTACAATATGTCCATTGTTGTTGGGTTTTTTTGGTGAACAGCTGACTTGCCTTTGCATGTGTTTGTGACTGTGCTACCGGTGGGGCAGGATACGCTCACCTTTTCGTGAACGTGTGGTATCATCAATATGTGATAGTGATTCATAAGCAGATGTTTGTGATATAGTGAATCGTACAATGGACTCTGCTTTTGGCAGAAACTTCTTATGAATATGGGGGCGGTAGGGTAGCCTAGTGGTTAAAGCGTTCGCTCGTCACGCCGATGACCCAGTTCGATTCCCGACATGGGTACAATGAGTGAAGTCCATTTCAGGTGTTCCCCGCCATGATATTGCTGGAATACTGCTAAAAGCGGCGTAAAACCATACTCACTCACTCACTCATATGAATATGGAAAGAGCTTTGTCGCTTTTATTCCAAAGTGAACACATCTCATTGTACTGACATCCGACATATATCACTTCCCATGATAAGTCTATGTTTATAGCTACTACCTCATAAAAACTAAGCAGACCGCCTCCCTGGTCTAGTGGTAGAGCGTCCGCCCGGAGAGCGGAAGGTCCGGGTTCGATCTCCGGCCGCGTCATACCAAAAGTTGTTTAGCGATGGTGCTTGTTGTTACCCTGCCTGAAGCTCGATATTAAGGGGCTTAAACAAGGACTGGTCGGCTCGGAGTCAGAAAGCTGTGACAGAGTGGGTATTCGTGTTAAACTGTAGCATGGTATCTCAGTGGGCTAGCAGAATAGAATCGGCATTTGTCCAGACTAGTAAAAGCACACACACACACACACACACACACACACACACACACGTGTATGCACGTCGCTTGGACGTCTTGGACGCGACGTAAAATCCCATTTCACCTCACCTCACAACAGTGTAGGTTCTGCTGCAGACAGGGATCTCGATAGTAAGGTCGTGAAGCGATACACAACATGATTCAAGACAACTACACTGGTTATGCTAGGAGCTATAGTTCATCGATACAGGGGACGAATAGAAACCCAACCAAAACATGTTTAGTTGATTCTAGTTCATCAATGAAAAAGTGTTTGCGACTTTTTATACACATACGGACAGAAGATTGTATTTTACATTAAATTTATATAGGATATTTTCACCCTAACATATATTTGCGTCGTTTTGTATCAATATGTGACGTCACGAAACTCGTGTCACAGTGTACCATGATGTAGAGAATGTGGCGAATGGTGACAACCTTACTGTATATTAGAACATATACGTCTTGGTGAAGACTTGTATGTGCTTCGTGGAGTAATGTTGTCAGTCCTTTAACCAAGACTCGGAACCAACGTTATTACATTGCTAGGTACCCGTGAAGATCCGGGTCAGAATAGGTCTTCATCAACCCATGCTTGCCGTAAAAAGCGACTACGCTTACCGTAAGACGCGATTAATGGGATCGGATTGTCAGGCTCAGTGACTTGGTTGGTGCATGTCATCGTATCCCAATTGCGTGGATCGATGCTCATGATGTCAATCACTGGATTGTCTGGTCCATACTCGATTATTAACAGACCGACATCATATAGTTGGAATATTGCTGAATGTGGCGTTAAAGAACAAACAACAAACATTGCTAGGTCGATCCTCGTCAGGGATGTCATGCTCGGGACCCGTAAAACACATACTAGTATGCAAAGTCAAAATAAAAATGATAAAAGAAGAATATCTTTTGTGATCATTCCTTGGCAACATACAGATTTACTGTTAATGGGTGAAATTTCACCGTATTTGGAAATGGGTGTTTTGTATCTCTCTTTATATTCGTGTTTCGAATATAGCTAAAATAAATATTAATTGATTAGGAATATTCAAACATGGATAAGGTTCGTATTTAACTAGAAAATGTTAACTCAGTGGCAGGTGCTAGAGGTAGTGCAGAACATGCTTACCCTTTTCGCGAACACCTGGTGTCAAGGCTGATTTTCAGTGATTTTAGTCCCAAAGGAATCTGTTTCGGCTGATATTCGAGACTAATTATTCTCAGACAATGACTTTTTATGTTCTGAAGTAATAGTCGTTATTTCGTTTATCTGTTCATATTCTGTTTCGTACATACCTCATAAAGTGGAAACTCTTTACTGAGATATTCATATTTTCAAACACCTTGTATCATCACTAGTTAACAGTGATTCATAAACACATGCTTACGATATGGTCGAAATCTTACAACGGATTCTGTTTTTAGCAAAGATTTCTTTTGATTATGAATATGGGTTTGTCGCTTTTATGCATTGAACTTAAAAACGTGTGTCCATTTGTGATATTCCTATTGTTGGATGTCTGTTGCTATTCATTT